AGTGTCTAGCCTGGCCTTCAAGCATGCTAACTGGCTCTGTAACTCGGCCAGCCTGCAAGGGGAAAGCTGCCCTGCGGTTCCTGTGTTTTTTCTCCTTTAAAGAGAAAATCCGTGATTAAGGGAGAAAATTTGCATTTTTCCATAGCAAATGGAAAACCTGGATCCCTGGTTATCTTCAGCAAAAACATACCATATTCTACCTATGTAAATGTAGCCTTAACTGGGAATCAGTTAATTTGCAGAAAAAACTCATTCTTTTCTATGAGATTCCATAACAAACTAAGCTAAACTGAAATAAGGCACTCTTTAAATAGGAATTAAAGTGTCTATATAAAGGTTTGAACCTTTTTAATACAATTGTTTTTTTCAGCCACTTTCAACTTTCCATTGTAAGAAGGTGCAAGTCTCCAAACACCTCCCATAAGAAGGAAAATTTGGTTTATATCTAATTGCATAAGGGAAAATAAGTCCGAAAAACATGAAGGGACTTATCCAAGGTCATATAGCAAGTTCAGGCAGAGTCCGGTTAAAACCCAGAAGCCCTGATTCCTGGTACCAAGGGCTAATCACTGGCTGCTATTCTTCAGTAACTTGACTTTTATACCACTGTAACCCCATGGATTGCAACAGAGCCTGCCCCTGCTCCGCCTGAGTGCGAATGAGAAGACATTGGCATTCTTGGGGGCCGGCTGACTGCGAGTAAAGGTCAACGCTAACATTTTTCTGTCTTTCCTGTGCTACTTTCTCAGGGTATCTCCCCATTGCTCCCTGCTTCCCTTTCCTCACAGGGGTCATTGCTGAGGAGATATGGGAACACCTGCCTCTTTGTTGTTCCCATATGCTGTTCCTTGCTATGTGACGGGCCTAGTTATAGCAGCAATAAGTTGCCTTTCTGCTGCTCGCTGGCTTCATAACTTTCGGCTGCTCTATGGCAGCTGCCACAGGTTTTCTAACTCCTCTCAATAGTTACGCTGCTCAGCTCTGGCGCTTGTTTTATGGCTTTTGGTGGATAAATGGGTGAAGCCTCTGTGAGATGTTATAAATTACAGCTTGGGAAGTGACATGGAAAAACAAAAAGCTGGGAATCCTTGTCTCTTCACAAGCACATTGTGAGCTTAGTCAAGGACTTCTAGTGCCTCGTCTCCTCTGCTTGCTTGGCCCTTGCATTCACATTCAAGCATTATCTACACAAGGCATTTATCTATATTAGTTCAGTAAACTCTGTTTAAACCAAATTTGGCTGGTGAGCATGGTCGGGTCTAAAATCAGTTTAAAATGAGTACAGAAACTTTGGCTGGATCACCCACATTTAAATCCAGCAGCCTGAATCATGCTAAAGGAGTTCTAAAATGCTCCAGTTAATCCAGTTAAAGCCCTGGGGGCATTTTCAAACATGCCTAAAGAAGTCAGGAATCCAAATCCCATTGATACATTAGGACTTCTTAAAATCCCATCCCTCTAGTGTGCATGGTGCTTGCTGAACCTGGCAAGGGGTGGCATTTTCTGACAGACAGAGCACAGGTATAGAAGTCAGAGGATCAATACGTGTCATGGATAGTTCTGACTCTCTTATCGAATTACTCTGTGACCCTGGGTGGGTCATTTAACCACTCTAGGCCTCAGAGATTTCAAGCTGCTTAATAATGCAACAGCATTGCATGGAGCCTTCTAAAAGTACTGAAAGGTCGTTAATGTTATGTGCTATTGGGTCAGCTCTGCTCTCAGGCTGCAGCCACTGAGCAGAGACAAAGCAACCGAGTTCAAAGGCCAGTCATATGCAGTATTTGTAGTTATTTAGACAGCCTTCATTGTATTTAAAACTGGTGACAATGACCTTCTGTACAGATGGGAATTCAGGAGCACAGGGACCTCAAGTAACTCCTTGATATTCTCACCTGTGAGTGGGAGGATGGGAAGGAAACCCAGGTCTCTGGCTTCACAGCCATGCCTTGTCCATCACCTTGTTTCCTAGTATGGTTTTAGAAATGGGGCAGTCTGGTTGAGTGGACGTGTTACCATGGTAGGTTGTTCCCACTGGGTAGGCTACCACATCGCACAAATTGCCACCCCCAGTACTCTAGTGCACAATGAACTTTTTGTAAAGCAGGCGCAACAAAAACTGCGTGTGCTTCATGGCAAATGAATTCCCCTTTGCCTTTAGTTGTGGTTCTAGCCCTGGGTTTAGTGCCCTGATGTCATTCTGCAATATAAGGAGGTAGAGAGCCAGCTACTGGAGGCACTTTGGTAGGGAGGGATGGTGTTTGTACTGCTGGTACTCTGCTGCACCTAGCACTGGAATTGAGCACTTGTGTTTCCTGCCTCTGCGCTGTGTATGTGAACATCTTGCATGCAGGTCTAAAGTGGATTTCAGCAAAACCACAGACTAGGGAATAAAGATTATTTTACTGAACTGGCCACAGAAACCATAAAATACTCGCTCCCATTGTTACCAAAGAAGGAATCGGAATCTCTCCTGGGGCAAGATCATCCCAGGGTTGAATAAAGCATTTTGAACAGTGGAATTTAATTTCTTGGAGCCAAGCCGATCCTTTTCTTTCCAGCACAACTGGAAGATGAGAAGGAAAAGTTAATGGGAGCAACACACACTGTGCTACTGTCTTTACCTGATGCTGGTTTGCTGAGCAGTGGTCCCAATGGCTGATCATGCTGTGGGGTGGATGCTGGCTGTACCCTTCTCTGGGGCAGTGCTTGCTTATTGTACTTCGCCACTTCCCAGTAAATCACTGACAAAGAATCCTGTCCCAGTTTACTTTAAAGCAGGATATTTACTGTAAATGGCCATGAAAATGCCCCCAGCACAGTTGGCCATTTGTCTTCACCCTTCAAGGGGGTCCTGCTTTGCAAATTGTAATTAGCATTTGCCTTTCATTAGTACCTTTCATCTAAAGATATCTTGTCTGTGCAAAGCCTGGGGGGGGTGAGTTTTGCCCTGCATTTTACTGATTTCAGGAAGGGATGGTCCATTCTGGACTCTGTAAAGCTGGGTAATGGATGGAAGCAGAGCTGAATGCTGCTTTTGGTGGCTTGCCAGTTACTGTAGCAACCATATCAACAGAATGAGGAAAACCCAGGGAGAGAGGGATTTTTGAGTGAGGAAAATTAGCATTCTGGGGTATCTGCTGGGCAGAAAATGGGTTCACTTTTGACAAGTCTCTGAACTGGCCTCAGCAGTGACACTTGGCTTCTCTCATATCATTTTGTGTTAAGCCCCACAGTATTTCTTCTCCCCACCTCTACCCCATAACCCAGCAAATAAAGACTTTCCCTGCTGACCAGGCTGCCTTTCTTTATTGCCGATCCTGGGGAGGAGCTGGACATTAGTAACTGAAGCCTCACAGCACCCTCCAAGATAAGTCAGAATTATAATCCTGGTTTTAAAGCTCTGGATCTGAGGCACTGGGAGCTAACTTTCCCCACAGCCATAAACAGGCTTGTGGTTTTTCAGACAGTTGGAGAGCCCCTGACTATCCCATTCCCAGCCTCCTGATGCATTGTGCCATGTTTTGAGCCAGAATGGTAGCTTATCCAAGGGGCAGTTTGGTTCTAACCTGAAGCAATGAATGAGGCAAGTTACAGCCCCACACAGTTTTCCTGCCACTGCAGATCTTCCTGCTGATGAAGGAAGACCCTGCCTGAGCTTTGTGACCAGACAGACCCAGAATAAGACTTTGGGGCCTCTGTGATGGTTGAGTAAGACCTCTTAGTGCCCAATGCAAAAAAGGACACTAAAATTGACCATCAAAGGCCATGTAGGAGAGGTAGGGAAGGGAGAAAGTGTTTTTGAATTCCTACCCTCAGGTCAGTGTTGAGAACCCCTCTGAAGTGTGGCTGGTCTCTCATTCCTTATCCCTCACAAAGAAATTTACTCATGATGACTTGCTGTATTTTTGGAGCCATGAAGGAAAATGCATACAGAAATCACAGGCCAAGATGCTGTGCACTGAGAGCCCCATGCTGGGGAGAGTGGTTCTCCAATGCATAGTCCCTACAAAATTGTCTCTTAAAGTCCCCCCGGCATCTATTTAAGCTCTTTTTATGCCTAGTCCTGGTAGTGTCTCCAGCACCTTTGTTCTTTCCAACATCTCTTTGAAGTAGGGATGTATCATTATCTCCATTTTACAGATGGGGAAATGAGGCCTGGAGAGACAAAGTAACTTACCCACAGTCGCACAGGAAGAACCAGAAACTGGACTTGGGTCAGTTCAGTGCTTCAGACAAAAGATCTTCCTTAATATTGCCCTTCTGCTCAACTGGCCAACACGCATCTGTCCTCCAGTTCACTGCATAGAGAGTGAACAATAGGTAACAACGTGAATCACAAGCTGTGGAGCAGGGAAGTGGACTGAAACAGGTGTAGCTGCTAACCTGGAAGTTTGTGCCCTGGCTTGTAGTGGTGGCACTCAGGTAGGCAGCAGTGGCAGCTGCCAGTCTTGTGCTTTCACTAGGTTGCTGGTCACTTGCCCACCCCTAATTATGTGACTGGACTGCAAGGGCTGTCAGAGTGCTGTGGAAGAGCTTGTTAGCAGATTATGCACATGTACAGAACAATTGAGATGGCTGTCAGTCGTCAGGGACAGGGCATGCAACTTAAAACTCTAGTTGTGCTGAGGGCAGCTTCTGCTTCCAGCCACGCTGGTGTAAAGGAAGTTTTGAGCTGATGTAGCAAGAGCAGAATTGAGTCTTCAGGCTTTATCTAGTCTGCTAAAGGAGAACAGCAGTGGGCTGCCAGCATCAGTGATGTCTAGCATCTTCTCATCAGGCCTCTTGCCAAGATGGACCCTTATAATTCCAAACTCATATGTGCGCATGCAGGTATGACCTCTTTCTCCTCACACAGACCATGGGATGGTGCAAGGGCAGGAGGGCAGACATGATGTCTTCTAATGATGCAATTAACCATACATGTTCCTTGTACTGAGCTGCCTGTCTGGGGGAAAGGAAATTGCTTTATTTAACTAGGTCCTTGTTTTTGCCTTTAGGAACTTACCAAGGCCAGTTTACCAATGGCATGCGTCATGGATATGGCGTCCGTCAGAGCGTGCCCTATGGCATGGCATCCGTGGTCCGCTCTCCTCTCAGAACCTCCCTTTCTTCCCTCCGTAGTGAGCACAGCAATGGCACGTTGCCCCAACAGGACTCCCCAGCAGCTAACCAGGAAAGCATCCCCATGTCCCCCACTATCACTCGGGGAGGCTTTGCCCTCAGCCTATATTCAGATGCTGAAGCTGGCAAGCCGAAGAAGGGGGGCCTCTTCAGACGGAGCTCTCTGCTGGGGAAGCTGAAGAAATCTGAATCCAAGACATCTTTGGCCAGCCAGAAGAGCCGAATCAGTTTCCTCAAGAGTGAGAGCGGCATCAGCTCTGCCGCCAGTGATGCTACCTCCACTGTCAGCTTGGGAGAGGGGGCGGAAGGTGAGGAGTTCCCACCCTTTGAGTCGGACATTGATGCTACCACCACAGAGACCTACATGGGTGAATGGAAGAATGACAAGCGCTCAGGTTTTGGGGTGAGTGAGAGATCGAGCGGCCTGAAATATGAGGGTGAGTGGCTGGACAATCTGCGGCACGGCTACGGCTGCACCACAATGCCCGATGGCAAGAAGGAAGAAGGCAAGTACAGGTATAATGTCCTGATCAAGGGTATGAAGAAGCGAGTGATACCTCTGAAGAGTGCCAAGATCAGGCAGAAGGTGGACAGGAATGTGGAGGGGGCCCAGAGGGCAGCGGCCATCGCCAGACAGAAATCTGAGATCGCGGCTTCCAGGTAGGTGTTCCTGGCCTACTCCTGGTAGAAGTGAGAAGGAAGGTCCTATAGATGCCCAGGGTTTTTTTTATTGATTGTGATGTCTGTGGTTATTAGAAACTGTCATGAAAGACAGATGGGAATTCTGTAGAGGTGCACCAATACATTGGTCTGATATCGGATCAGCACCCATATAAAGAAAATTGTCTGTATTGGAAATCGGCCAATACAGCTGTTAATTTGGCTCATAAATGGCCCGTGCAAGTGTGTAGCTGCAGTGCAGCACATAGGCAGTGAGGAGCACAGCGCGGCAGCCTGGAGAGCAGCATGCAGCTGGTAAGTCTGTTGTGGTGGAAGAGGACGGGCGAGAGAAGGGAAGGGGTGTGGAGGGCAGATCAAGGCCCCTATGGTGAGGGAGGGAGTGGGGCAGGGGTTGGGGCAGGTGCTGCCCAGCCGGAGCAGGGTGGGTGAGGGATGGAGCTGCAGCTTATCCAGAGGACACGGGGAGGGAGGTAGAGGCTCCCACTGCTGCGTGCCACTCATCTGGGAGTTGCTTGTCTGGCAGCTTCCGCTGTTTGTCCAGGAGGGCATGGGGCGGGGGTTGTGCTGCCAGATCTGCATAGGGTGGGACAGGCTGGGGCCAGGGCTGCATGGGGCTCTTCCCAGCCAGAGGCTGGGCCACACTGCACTTGGGGTGGGCGGCAGCGCTGGGAGAGGGGGTGGGGGATACAGCAAATTTTGGGGTAGCTGCAGCCCTGCCCATAGTCCCTTCCCAGTGCTGCTGCCACCTGTCCCGAGCACAAGCCAGCTCAGACCTGCCAGGAAGAACCCGGTGCAGCCCTGGCCCTAACCCCACCTGCAACAGCAGTGCCCCACCCTGCGCAGATCTGGGGGGTACCCCCCCATGCCCTCCCAGGGTGCATGTAACAGCAGGAGCTTCCCCTCCACACATCCCCCAGGCAAGCCATTTGCGGTTCTGTCTTGCACCAGCTGGGCAGCACCTGCCCCAGTCCCTGCTCCAACCCCACTCCGTCCCTCACCACAGGGGCCTCAATCTGCCCTCCCCACCACATGCCTTCCCGTCCCCGTCCCCTTCTACCATAACAGACTTACCAGCTGGACACTGCTCTGCCAGCTACTGGGCTGGTATCGGAAACTGGATCGGTATCGGTCAATATGCCTCCTTAAAAATCACCTATCAGTATCGGCCCCAAAAATCTGTCGGTGCACCCCTGGAATTCCACTTCCCAAAGAACAGAGCTCCTAGCGGCTAAGCATTTGGCTGACATATGCAGCCAGGCTCTCTGTCTTGGGTATCTTTTTGGGCCTGCAGTAGGGTAGAACCTCACTGTCTTCATGAATGTATCCTTGCAGGTCTGCAGTGTTCCAGACTAATGCTATCACCACTGGACAATCCTTCCTTTCTGCTGCATACAGCTTCTTCCAAAGTTCACTTAATCTGCCCCCACTGCAGAACTGTTAGTCCTACCCTCAACATGACAAAGGTAGGGTGGTCAGGTGAATAGTCAGCAGGTGCAGCAGGAGGTCAGACACCTCCTTTATTAAAATAACAACTCAACAGTAAGCCCATCACAATATCTGGTGGAAATGCTCCATTGTACACTAGTCAACACAGGATTCTGGGTCAGTGATACAAATGTTGCAGTTGCAATTGCTCTTCTAATAAGGACTTTCCATTTCAAGGCCCTTAGGGTCACATCCTTTCAGTAACCAACAGAACAGCTTGGCATTCTTGAGCGGTTGTTTTGCCACAGCCTGGTTTCCACTCTTTCCCTATTCTTAGTGGCACAAGGTTTGAGGGCATGTAGTGGCTTTCCAGTATCAGGTTATCAACATAACATCATGATCTTAACAAATGAGCCAGTTTCTAGAGCTGTCTCACTTCATAGTAGAAAAGCAACATGCTGCTTAGATATCACCATTCAGGACATAGTCACCAAGATAGAAACCAGTCTGGGTAGGCTGAATTGAAGGTGTCTACACCACTGCAGCAGAGGACTTTCATAGATTCATAGATTCATAGATTAAGGGTCGGAAGGGACCTAGTAGATCTTCTAGCCCGACCCCCCGCCAGGGCGGGAGAACAACAAAAACCCCAAAAAGAGAAATGGGACTCAAACGAGTCCAGCTAGGTGGGCATCCAGCCTCTTCTTAAAGACCCCCAGGGTAGGGGCCAGCACCACTTCCCTTGGAAGTTGGTTCCAGCTCCTAGCCGCCCTAACGGTGAAGTAGTTTGCTGCTGAGGATATAAGCTCTCCCCTCTCCACTCACTATCACTAGGGGTTTAGGGAACTTGAAGTAGCAGCCAGCCAATTTTGTGGGCAGATCTTCAGGCCAGTAACCATTTTTGCAGGCTAATTGTGGCACCTCCCCCCTTCCCTACATCTTTGATTGGTTGAGGGGCCCTGGTGGCTCTGCCCATCACCACTGATTGGCTGCTTAGGCTGTTGGTTGTACAGCCCCACCTTTCACCGCAGATTGGCTGTGAGAGCTGGCTGTCATGTGGCCAGACATGGGCAACTGGTGCCACCTTAGGGGGGGGCATGTGCCCCCCCACAGCAACCGGTCAGTGACTGGAGGTGGTGTCCCCCTGCAGCCAATCATGCCAACTGGGAAGCAGCCATGGCACTCCTGGAAGTGGCTGTGGAGCTTCATCTGGTGCCCCCGCTCCCCAGCTGGCACTCGCAAGGGGGGCACGGGTGCTCCCACCTGCCTCCCCTGCCCATTGCCTAAGCAGAGAGCACAGCCTGTCAGGGGGTACACCAGTGCTCTCAGGGGGTGCACATGCACCCCTGTGCACCCCCTATGCATCGCCACTGTGGCCAGAGCCCTTGCCGCCAGTTGGTAGAAAGGTGTGGGGCCATATGACAAACAGCCAGTGAGGGATGGGGTGGCACACATCTTGCTGTGCCAGTAGCCCCCTCCCCTCACTTCCCTCCCTCCCTTGACAGGCTGTGTAGCTGGGCCACAGTGTTTTATTTTTGTTAATTTTCTTTTTTTTTTCAGGGAACCTGCCAAAAAGCACAGACCCCACGCTTTTTTGTGGAACCAGCCCAAAATTGCAGTTTCCATGAAAAACACGCAATCGTGATTTCAGTAGGTCCCTAACCATCACTTCATATATATATCTTCTCCTAGTCTACACGCATCAACCCCAGAAATGAAATAGTGAAGTCACCCTGGGAGGTGACACTGGCATCATGCTCGGGGCCAGTGTTTCCAGTATGCTCAAAAACAGTGGCTCATGGCACCTCCAGGGTATTCTTACAACTTCATTTCCAGGGTTCATACACCTGGGGTTGGAGCGGATCTTCTTGGCTAGGGACAGAAGTTACACATAAACTGGTATGAGTGATTGGAAACTGATTCAGATATGTAACACAACAGAAGTTCAGTGTACATAAACCGCTTTCAAAATGAATGAAAGATAAACCTGGATGGATGTAGCATCAGACTTTAACTGATTTTGGTTAAATCGGTTTACTGAACTTCCATATCAGATCCCCTCCAGATTTGAGTTAACTCACAGTCCCCCAGAATCCCAGGATGCTTTGCACCTCCCCCGTAACATCCCCCCCCCACACACACACACGGTGCATGGGCTAGGCTTGGTCCAAGCAGTCTGCGCCAGCTGAGCGGGTTGGCATGCTCTAGCACCCCTCAGCTTCTGGCCTGGGCCACTGCAGGCATGTGGCTGTGTCTCTGAATCAAAATGACTATTGGTTCACTTGCTTATCAGTTCAATCTATGCAGCTTAGACTAACATGTGAAGATTGAATCGATTTTAGCCTCTGTCTTCTTGACTGTCTGTACTTAGCACTTGACAACAAGATGGAGTACTCTGCTTTCATGGTGGAGGTCAACTCTTAGTGGGCACATCTACACAAGATGCTTATTGCGCATTAGCCTAATAACACTGTGTAGTATGCTGGTCAGAAAGCTGGCTAATAGCCAACTGTGCAGTGTTATTAGGCTAATGCACAATAAGCATCACAAAATAACTGTGCACTGGTGCTACTTCATTAGGCAAGTACTAACTAAATGCACAGGAATTCTAAGGCACATTAACGAACCTGTAGATGTGCCCAGTGTAGCTCAGAGACTGTCATCACCAGCCAATGTACTGCCTCAGAGAAGAGGGGCCTCTGGTGGAGAATTCCTTGTATTCATCATCATAGTTTTTCAGATGATGTTTACTCAGCTCTGAATGATTCACCTAGATTAGTGTGCAGTAGGCCATGGGGCAGAAATCAACTGAATTCTAATCTCAGTAGTTTGGAGACTGCTGTCTCTGCTCAGACTGGTCTAAGATGTCCTGGACAGTAACACTGTGAAACACTTTGGGTAGGTTCTGTCTGCTTTGTCTGTGCACTGGAAATCCTTCACCAAATTGCTGGAGAATACGAAAAACCTTCAGGAGACCTGACTCTCTTTGCTTAAAGTAATGCAGACAAGTACTTTGGGCCACAAATTCAAATTTTGTATTTAAAAAAGAAAAGGCAGAGTTTGTAATAATAGAATAGAAATATTGTCATCCGCTGTTTGAGAGAGTTTTGGTTTTTCTTCAGTTAAACTTTTCCCCCACCACAGAGCCCCACAGACAGCAGCACCCCAGTGGCTCGGAGGACAGACAGACTTCTGCAGGTGCAGACAGAAGATGAAGTAGACCCACCCAGTTATATTTGCCAAGCAAAGTACAAAGAGGGAAATGGCAGCAATGAGGCTTTTAAAAGTTCATTCAGTTTTACCAATTTAAAAAGTGAAAAATAAAAGGAGAGTTTTATTTAGTTATGGAGATCCTTCATTTTCACTGAGGGCTGGATTTCCATCACCCTAACTCATGCTAAGCCATAGGTTACTGTTTAGTTGACACTCTGATTTCAGCATGCGTAGCCATAGCAGAACTTAGCCATGAATGAGAACCAAAGGATTTGACCCTTGAATATTTAAGAGCATAACACGCCCTCCTTTCCTACCTTACTGATTTGCTCTGAGCCATA